ATGAGAAACTGTATTAAAGGGTCACAGTGTTAGGAAGGCTAAGAAACACTGCTATAAAACCTCAGAGCCCACCTGCAGTGATGTACTTCCTCCAGCAAGGCCATACTCCTGCAGGTTTCATAAGCTCCCCAGACAATGTCATCAGCTAAGACCCAAGTGTCCAAATACCTGAGCGTAGCGTCATTTCTTAGCCACTGTACAGTCTCCCCAGACTGGTCTCAAACTTGCTATATATCCGAGGATAGCATTGAATTTGTGACAGGCATGTGCTCCATATCTGGCCCATATTTCTCAGTCAGAGAGAATAGCAACCTATAGGTTATAGGTGGAAATAACAGCCTGGAAATAGATCAGAAGGAGACTTTACAATGTAAACTGTCAATACTGTATTTTAGAAAGTAGATAAAAGATGAATTTTACCAGAGAACTGCATCCTATGAAAAAGGAACATGGAAGTTCTAAAATTAAACAGTATAATAAGTGACATAACATACAAGCTTAATGGAGAAGTTGGTAGTCACTGAGAGAAAAAACAGCATGGAAAAAGAAAAAACAGATGAGCACTGGTGGAGGGCTATTTACTTGAGCAAGGACAACTTACCAGTGACTACACCACCGGGGAATGGACTCCTCCCACACATAACCATTAAGGGCCTCAGGGTGTGGTGGAGCCTTATGAGTTCTCCCCCATCCAAAATTGAATGTTGATGAGTGCAGTTTTGTGGAAGTCTGGAGGCAGTGTCAAAACAAAACTAAAAAAGAATAGCAAAGCAAGTTACAGTCAGTATATTCAAATGGGACAGGGAAGAAAAAATGATACAGTTCAAGTGTCCTTTACCCTAAATGCTTAGGACCCAAAGTGTTTAAAATTGAAATGGTTTAGATTTTGTAATACCTGTTTTTTCATAAGATACCTTAGGGTTAGACCCAAGTAAAACATGAAATTCATTGCCATTGCACACATAGCCTAAAGGTAATGTGATAAAAGCTTTCAATATGCCAGCACTATATTGTAACATACAGTGTAAGGTTATGTGTGGAATTTGCTTCTTGTTTTATTTTGGCATTCAGAAAGTTTTAGATTTTGGAGCATTTCCGATTTCAAAATTCTGGGTTAGAGGTGCTGAGACTATGCCCGAGTTGCTCCTAAAGCAGTAGAGAGGAGCAAAAGGAACAGAGACCAAATGGTCAAATAGCAAGCAAATAATGTATGATTATGTTTAACCCAAATTAGTTAAGAAAATATCCTAAATGTAAATAGCTTAAATACTGCAGAATAGAGTCCGACGGTACTAAAACAAAGCCCTGTGATCAAGTGTATTTGATAGGAAGTGTCTATAAGAAGGAAAAATAATAATAGAAAAGCCAACCGTTATCAGATTAGAGAAATCGACACATTCATTTCCTCAGATACTGTCTTTTCTTTGTCTGGGGAACATTCAGAGTCCTCACTAATAGAAATTGACAATAAATTGATTTAGACCATGGTTATCCTGCCCTGTTGTTGCTATTAGCCATCTTCCCTCCATCCCTGTCTCCCACACCCTTCTCCAGCTTTACTAATATGTTTCCTACTCTGAAATAAATTCTCTCCCTCCCTCCCTCCCTCCCTCCCTCCCTCCCTCTCTCTCTCTCTCTCTCTCTCTCTCTCTCTCTCTCTCTCTCTGTGTGTGTGTGTGTATATATATATAATTATATATATATATATATATATATAAAATACAGTATAAAGTATAGTTAATATGTATAGGCAAGTCTTTTTGTTTTTTTATAGCAAAATAATAAGACATTAGGGACCGGGAAATCAGCAGAAATTCTAAGGGCCCTAATTAAGGCCCTGATTAGGAAAAAACACATTCAGTGATGAAGAATGTTTGCTTTTGAGGATGGATTTGTATCCCTTGATACTCTATATAATTAGTAAGGAGGAATAGCAAGAATGCTGAGACGCCTGTATGCAGCCTTACACAAAGAGGAGGAAATCAGTGGAGCCAGCCGTGGGCTAAACCTGTGAAGGATGAGCCAAATGAATCTTTCTTTTAAATTATTTACTTCAGAAACTTGTTGCATCAAGGAAAAGGTAACTAATACAACTAGTTAGAAGGGCATTGTATCATTTTGTAGGCCAGGAAATGCCTCAAACTTGGGTAATAACAGTGGGATCAGTAGGATCTGTTAATTGGGCAAATACAAAACAACAGAGTAAAGTTGTACAGGCCTTTAGCTTGCACAGCTAAGTAAATAGTAGCACCATTGTAATCTAAGCTGTAGGTGAAGATCTTAAGTTTAGTATGAGATGTGATGTATTTGAGATGCTTAAGTATCAGAAATGTCAGGTGTGGAGAGATGACTTAATGGTTAAAAGCCACTGGCTGCCCTTGCAGAGGACCCAGGTTTAATTCCCAGAATACACGTGGTGGCTCCCAACCACATAACTCTACTTCCAGGGGATCTGACACTTACTTAGGGCCTCCCACCTCTGGGCTCACATGTGGTAAACATATGTACATGAAGGCAAGTACTCATACACATAAAATAAGGCTAAAAAAAGATTATATAGAATAGACAGATTGGAGGTGTGGGTCTGGAGATCAGAGTTGAGTGTAAGAGGGAGTGAACTTCCCTCTTGCCAAAAAAAAAAAAAAGATCATAGAATGAGAAAGGCAAAAGGCTGAGGGACGGATTCTAGAACTAAACATTTGTACTCAGAGGAGAGTCAGCCAGAAACAGCAGCAAGAAGGAGCAGTCAGGAACTGAGGGAGTATGGGTGTCCTAGAAGCCAGGGAAATTCAAGAAGAACAGTGTTGCCTAGCTGAGTGGCAATAAAAGGGTCAGCAAGATAATTGAAGAGAGAGTTCTTTGAATTAACAATTAACAATGGTGATTCCCAATAACCATTCTGGTCCTAGTGTGGCGGTACCTGCTGTAATCCTGGCATTTGGAAAGCTAAAGCATAAGGGCCTAAATAGCAAGTTCCAAGCCAGCCTGGACTGCATATCAAGACCCTCAACCAACAAAACAGTACAACATCAAAAAGAACTATTTTCATAGCGTAGTGGTTAAACCTAGTTTGAGAGAAAGTTTAAAGAGGAAGAATTGGTTCAGACTGTCAAAAAAATCAGATGATTATGCCAAGCTATATAGAGTTAGATTGTGCATGAAGCCTAGGTCCTTGCAATGCTTGCACACACAGTCTACCCAATAACACTGTAGTAGAATACAGAAGTGAAGTGACATCGACTATGGGTACTTCACAGAGAAAGCACTTTCTGTCAGCTGGCCAAGTCAAGACTCTGTAGCTCTGTTACCTTGGTCTCTGGTGAGGGCCCCTAACCATGTGAGTGATCAGAAGGCAAAACAACAACCATTTAGTTCTCTTGAAAGAAGTAACTGTAGGGGCTGCCAAACAAACAAACAAACAAAAGCCCTTTGAGGGTATTGTGGTATAGTTCTTCACACTAGACTCCATTTCCCAAAGATTCCATGTTGCCTCCCAGCACCATTTACATCAGGAGCTTTGTGGAACACATTCAGGCCATCACAGGTGCCCATCTGTTATCAGATTCTTACATCCTTACTCGTAGGCTGCTGATGGTCTCTGTTATGTGACCAAGATGAAATACCACAGTCACAACTAAGAAACCCCAGAGCTCCCTGGGGGCCAGTGTTATGCCTTTAATCCCAGCACTGGGGAGGTAGAGGCAAGTGGATCTCTGTGAGTTTGAGGCCAGCCTGACGTACAGAACAAGTTCCAGGACAGCCTCCAAAAGCTACACAGAGAAACCCTGTCTCAAAAAACAAACAAACAAAACAAAGGAAATAAACAAAAAACCCAGAGCCCTTGGACTATAGGAACAATGTTTGGGGAACATACTGAGATGATCTTTCTCATATATTATGCTTTCCTGAATGAGTTTTTAAAAGTCAAAAACTTACTGCTTTTCGTGTAAATTTTTATGTTAGTCTTAAATTCATTTAAATATTCTATATAGATTGGCTTCCTTTTCCAGCAGAGGTTCTCAAACCCTCCAAGGTAAAGAGCAGTCAAGAGATCTTCTCCAAAAGAAGTTTCATTCAACTTCTATATTTTTTTCATGGGGGAAGATGTGTCAGTCATTTTGTTTCTACTTTTGTTCAGCAGTTGCAAACACATCCAAGTGTCCAAATCAGGGACAAGACATTAGTACCACTGCTTTTTAATATAACCTATAGGAATAGTAGATAAGCTAGACAGGTAAATGAGGAAGATACAGGTCAAGGTCTTGTTCTGCAGGGTGCATGGGCTCCATAGTAAGAAGAAAATACAGGAGTCAACTGGAAAAAGTACTGCAGACAAATGCTTTCATTAGAATAGTGAAAGATACATGAAACTCAGGGCTGCATGCATGCTGTGCAGGACACACACCACAAATGGTTTCCCAACCCCAACCTTACTGTTTGTGTCAGTAAACTCTGTTGTAAGAGAAACTTTCTGAGGATCCACATGGTGGGAGGAGAACATGGATTCTCTCAAATTTTCCTGGCTACCTCCAAGTAAAAGTAGTGAGTTAAATATTGAAAAGGAAAAAACGAAGACTAAAATAGCTACTCCCAGGCTGGCAAGATATCTCAGCTCGTGTTGGTGCTTGCCATCAAGTTCAAATCTGAGATCTCCATGGTAGAAGGAGAGAACCGACTCCCACAAGTTATCTTTTGACCACCATATATGTGTATGGTACATGAATGGTGTATGGCGAATGAATGAATGAATGAGTCTCCAGGTGTGATAACAATAGTTTTTAAAAAAAATCTGTACCCAAGAATTACGTTAGGTTGCATCAATGACAATCTTTTAATGTGCCTGTTTTCGGCCTTTAGTATATGGAAGACTTTTTTTTTGGTCTTGTCATTTAAAAGGAGGAAATTATTGTGACTGTCAAATGCTGTTTAAGAGATTCTTTTGTCAAAGCAGTCCATGATTTGACAATATTTTGTTTTAAATTTTTTAAATCATGTATTAGGTGAAAAACCATTTCGCTGTGATGAATGTGGTATGAGATTCATACAGAAATATCACATGGAAAGGCACAAGAGAACTCACAGTGGAGAGAAGCCTTACCAGTGTGAATACTGCTTACAGGTAAGGGAGCCAGTTTGAATTTCCTACCTAACTGCAGTGTGAAATAAGTAATGGTTAGGTACCATTAGTACTGGAGCCATTTGAGACTTTAAACTCTTTGGTTAGATTTATAATAGAAACTTGATCAGTGCATTGTTTTAAAATTGTTTATATTGTTATTAATTATCTTGTTTCTTTTCTTCTCTTCTTTGTTGACAAAAAATCATAAAAACAACAACAAAAACCACTTCCAACCTCTGATTTCAACAGTATTTTTCCAGAACAGATCGTGTATTGAAACATAAACGTATGTGCCATGAAAATCATGACAAAAAACTCAACAGATGTGCCATCAAAGGTGGCCTTCTGACATCCGAGGAAGATTCTGGCTTTTCTACATCACCAAAAGATAATTCACTGCCAAAAAAGAAAAGACAAAAAACTGAGAAGAAATCTTCTGGAATAGACAAAGAGAGTACATTGGACAAATCTGACATGAAGAAAGACAAAAACGATTACCTGCCGCTCTACTCTTCGAGCACTAAAGTAAAAGATGAGTACATGGTTGCAGAATATGCTGTTGAGATGCCGCACTCTTCCGTCGGAGGGTCCCATTTGGAAGATGCATCTGGAGAAATACACCCACCCAAGCTGGTTCTCAAAAAAATCAATAGTAAGAGAAGTCTGAAACAGCCCCTGGAACAAAATCAAACCATTTCACCCCTGTCCACTTACGAAGACAGCAAAGTTTCAAAGTATGCGTTTGAGCTTGTGGATAAGCAGGCTTTACTGGACTCGGAAGGCAGTGCTGACATCGATCAAGTGGATAACTTGCAGGAGGGGCCCAGCAAACCTGTGCACAGCAGTACTAATTATGACGATGCCATGCAGTTTCTGAAGAAGAAACGGTATCTTCAAGCTGCAAGTAACAACAGCAGGGAGTACGCGCTGAATGTAGGTACCATAGCTTCTCAGCCTTCGGTCACACAAGCAGCTGTGGCCAGCGTCATTGATGAGAGCACCACAGCATCCATATTGGATTCCCAGGCTCTGAATGTGGAGATTAAGAGCAATCATGACAAAAGCGTTATTCCAGATGAGGTCCTGCAGACTCTGCTAGATCATTACTCCCACAAGGCTAATGGACAGCACGAGATTTCCTTCAGTGTTGCTGATACTGAAGTGACTTCTAGCATATCGATCAATTCTTCTGACGTACCTGAGGTCACCCCATCAGAGAATGTTGGATCAAGCTCCCAAGCATCCTCGGCAGATAAAGCTAACATGTTGCAGGAGTACTCCAAGTTCCTGCAGCAGGCTTTGGACAGAACTAGCCAAAATGATGCCTATTTGAATAGCCCGAGCCTTAACTTTGTGACCGATAACCAGACCCTTCCAAATCCGCCAGCATTCTCTTCCATAGACAAACAAGTCTATGCAGCCATGCCCATCAATAGCTTTCGATCAGGAATGAATTCTCCACTAAGAACAACTCCAGATAAGTCCCACTTTGGACTAATAGTTGGTGACTCACAGCACCCGTTTCCCTTTTCAGGTGATGAGACAAACCACGCCTCTGCCACATCAACCGCAGACTTTTTGGATCAAGTGACTTCTCAGAAGAAAGCTGAGGCACAGCCTGTTCACCAGGCTTACCAAATGAGCTCCTTTGAACAGCCCTTCCGTGCTCCGTATCATGGATCCCGAGCTGGGATAGCAACTCAATTTAGCACTGCCAATGGACAGGTGAACCTTCGGGGACCAGGGACAAGTGCTGAATTTTCAGAATTTCCCTTGGTGAATGTAAATGATAATAGAGCTGGGATGACATCTTCACCAGATGCCACAACTGGCCAGACTTTTGGCTAAAAAAAAAATGTGTAAATAATACAGGCACTTTAGAACAGATTAATCGAGAGTGGGGTTACTCTGTGTAAAATGGAGTGCTATACAGATTTAAGAGCAATGCGTTCATAGCAAGCTGATAAGAATAGCAAGATAATCCAATACCTGCATTTCGTTTGGTTAGTCCGCATTCCTTGAACTGCCTTACGTGTTGTCACCGTTATAGAGCAATGCATTACTTGTTTTAGATCAGAACCTTGCTATTGACCCACACCAAGATAAAAAAGGAAAAGACTTTCGCACAATTGTTTCCTAACTGATAACATTGTACATTCTTAGGAGAGTAGTAATTGTGTGAAATTTCCTCATACTGTTTCTACGTTTTCAGCATAGTATTGCACTTCAGCAGGGAATCCGAGGACACTTCACAGACAGTGAACTTAAAGTTTCCATGTCAAGAGATTATGGCTTAAATAAGTAGTTTGTCCTATAGGGGGGAATAAAAAGAAACCACCTTAAAAATGATATGCCATATACCCTTGATTTTCATTTTGCATTATATTGACATGTGTTTTTTTTTTTTTTTGAAGAAAAAAGTAATAAAAATCTGATAGTCTAAGACTCCGCTATTTAAAAGCCTAATTACTTTTAAAGTATGCATACTTTCAAAACTTTTACCAAAACACACAACTGTAGAAGCATTCACTTCTCTATGGAAGTATGCATATTGGTGTCAGTTTCTTTGTACAGGTATACTTAGATATTTTTTATGATTTTTCATGTGCAAGTATCAAGGTTTGAAGTTTTAGTAAAAAAATACTCTGTAGATTACATTCCCAAAAATAAAAAAATGCTTACACGCAATGTATATTCCACATTTTAAAGCTGAGATGTATTTCACTTTACACACTTCAGTTGACGTAGAGCACTTAGAATTAATCGGGTATTTTTGATTTCTCAAAGTTAAAAAATAGATTTTTTTTAGGTTTGATATGGTTGTGTCATAATCATCTCGTAATTGACAATTTTGCTTTTTGGCAATAAAAGGAAGTTGGGATTTCTTTGGACTGTAAAACCTGGTCTAATTCTCTTTCTGGACTCTTGATAGATTGGATAATTAAACAGTATCCCCCCCCCAAAAAAAAAAAAAAAAAAAAACTAAAGAAATGGGCATTTTAATTGCTTACTTAAGTTACTTTTAAGTGAATACTGCTCATGACAGTTTTACAAAGAGGAAGTGCTTAGTGGTTCCAGTAATTGCAATTTCTTTTTCAGCTAGATGAGTGATCGGAAATTTTTTGTTGCATTTCAAAATCTAAATAAACTACAGACTTTATCCTTATACGAAGAATGTTTTTTTTTAATATATGTATACTTTGTCTTAAAATAATACAGCATGGTACAATAAATAGTGTTTTTATATATACACACACACACATATACACTTTTATGAAGAATGATGGTTTGAGTTACACGTTGGACAGTTTTAATTTTTGGAGACTTAACATTAGTTACACTGACCGCTGTCTTCTTTTATTCGTTCCTCCTTTTTGGGTCTTGTACTTCAGATTTCTGCCATCTTTATCACAGTGCCAGTGGTAACCTGAAACCAGTGTCCTTGGGAGATGAAGCTTCGTTACCTTCCATTTTGACCCTGTAGACCTGCGTGCTCTGTTTCAGTGTTGAATATGTTATACATTTAAATTATTTTTCTTTTATTTAATGTTATCCCAAGACTGTTCTCATAAAGGAAGGGAACAAAGGAATTACCCCCATCCTTCACTTACACTCATTTATTTTTTTAATGTTAGTGATTTTATGACAAGGGATATAAGTTAATGTTAATGTGGTTTCCTCTAAACTTTGTTATGAAACTTTGCTTGAAATCATACTTTTCCCACTTGACAGCTTTGCTGTTGGATCTTTGAGAACTTTAAGACTTCTTTGAAGTAAATATTTTAAGTTCTGCATTATTGGTCTGAAGACCAATGTGGCACATCACCTCAGTGCAGGAATGCTTCATCAGATGAGGTGTTAGGGGACCGCGCTCAACCTTGATGAGTGTTTGTGTTTTTCTCATAGTACTTTTGGTAAGAGTAGACATTGATTTCCTAAGTTGAGCCTGATTTTTTTAAAAGATGTAGTTCTGCTGAGAACTTGATGTGCTTCTTGTACATGTAAGGGGGTTTTGTTTGTGACATCACCAGCACAGGTTTGAGAATGACAGTTGCTGAGCAGTTCAGGTATGCTTAGGAAGAAAAACCTAGGAATAAGCAAGTTCTGTAAACAGAATTTTAGGCGTTGCATTCCTGTCATAAACATATTTCTTTAAATCTACACGATGGCAGACTTTCCTACCAGGTCATAACATTTAAGGTAACCGCTAGCCAGCATAATTTACTGACTTACATTTAGGTGTAGTCATCACTCTTACTGTGAAGTCCTGAATGCCTGCCAGGCTCCGCCTGTTTCATCATCATGCGAGAAGCATCTCAAAAGTTTGGGTTTCTCCACTTTGGTTCAGAAAGCTCTGGGCATTAGAGGGAGGAAGTGGCCCTGTGTGCTGCTTTAGATGGATCCCTGTCAGTTCACACTTCTCATCTCTCTCAGTGAGCAAAGTCTTGTAGAGGAGCAGCTTCTAGTGCCCTACGCTTCTGTTCTGCATGGGCGTGTTCTGCTTTCTCTCACAGGTCCTTCCTGCTTCTGTCTGGGCTGGGGAATCTTCCACTAGACAAGGCAGGAGCTCTCCAGCATCTGAAACATTGTTGCTTTTTGAGCTTCAGTTGTACTGGACATTATTTCATTGGGTTTAGAATAGCTGAGTGGCTCCTACATTTCTTTTCTCTCTCTCTCTACAGTGCGCATGTGCTACCTAGTCAGGTAGGAATCCACCATCTTAGCTCTGACTCAGGGTACCAGCAATGGGTCGTTTTATCTCCTATGAGGTAGAAGAGGCCTTGTGCTCAGGGCAAGCTTTCATTCCCACAGATGAGAGACACTTGCAAAGTGCTAGTGAGGTTAGATCTTTTGCCACTTCTTTGATTTTATTGATTTGGGTTTTTAAAGGGCTGTTTAAAAACAAACAAAAGAGGCCGGGAACCTTGGAGTGGGCACACAGCCTGCTGCCCTCCCTAGGACCTTTAAAGTAGAGCTCGTCTTTCCCGTGTGTTTACTTGAAGAAGCACTATTAGAATCAGTGAGAATATATTTGAGTCTGCAATTTAATTTAAACCTTTTCCGTTTCAAATTGCTTTATTTCAGGGAAATAATTTTCCAGTTGTTTTTGCTATATTCTGCAAATAAAAACCATATGTTTCCTTTCTCCAACTAAACTTTGGTAGGAAACAAGCTAAAGCAGACAAACATTTCTTGTTGTGTTTGTTGCTTTCTTTAATCCAATGGATAAAAAAAGTAAAACCCTGTAAACATTATTTTATTTTTTTATGCAATACCATGCTGTAAATATGGTTCATCAAGTAAGGATGTACCTATGATTGAATCTTTAATTCTGCACAGTTAGAGTTTATATATAAACGTGTCTTGACAATCAAGGACTTTGATGTGAGTCTTCCTTTATGATGTTTATTAATGTTATGCATTCCATTTGTTTGAAGTGAGTACCAATGTGCTAATTTGTATTGTCTGAAAGTATGTAATGTTTTTACAGCTTGTTTTTAAGACTCTGTAAATATGTACAAACCAATCACAGTACGGCTTTATGTTAGAAGGCGTGTGATGTTGTACTGTATGTAAGCAATAATACATAGCAGTGCTAACTTTACAAGTAGCATCAGGAACGTTCTATAGAAACATTTCAAAGTTGTTAGTTATCCTTACTTCATTTAATAATGATTATCTTTAATCAGTTTTTATAAGCAAATTCCATTGTTCCTTCTGTTGGAACGTAACACTGTTTACACAGCATAATTGACGTTGCAGGGGAGACAGGCTAGACCTGGCTTCGTCTGCTCTCATTCTCACTAAGCATTGAATGGCCTTACCACTCTTGTGCAAAGACGGAGGAAGACCACAGAACTTAGTGCCCATCACACTGAAGGAAGGGATGTGGTATTTTTGTTTTTTTGTTTTTGTTTTTGTTTTTCTGCTTCTGTACCGCTACCTAACTTTGTGGTTTGCTTTGGGTTTGGGTTTTAATATGTGTTTCTGTTTTAGATTCAAGCCCGTAAGTGTTCAGGTAACTTTGGTTCAATTGTGAAGTAGATAAATTTCTTCATATTTCATAGCTACATTTCAATGATTCTAAACTTTCTACTTTGATTTTTAGATACTTTTTTTCAAGCTTGATTTCTCAGCTGACCAGATGAATTTACTCAACTTCAATACAAAGAAAGACAAACTTAGCTTGAAGTGAGTAGATACTATACTGTACAGAACAGCTCTCTGAACACCCGTCACTGCTTTAGAAATGAAGCCGCCAATTTATAACTGATTCTGACCTACATTTTATAGGGAAATGTTTTTAATGCTAGTCATTTATATAATGTGCTTTGAAGGATTTGCTAGTCCACTCCTGTCACTTTTTAGTACACTGGTACCTTTTCTATGTAATGTATGCTTTTTATTATTGTAGCAAAGCATTTCAGTAGAAAGACTTTTGCAACAATATGGGGGAAATTTTTCATTGTCGGGTTTGAATTATACTGGATTTTATCTGTCTAGTCTTACTTGTCTTTATTTTAATGCTGTCTGGAAGGGACCTTGGTACCCAAATAAAGCAGGTTAACCTCATTGCTTCAAGGGCATACTGTGTAGTGCTGAGTTTCACCTGGAAATCTGATGACTTTGAAAAGAAAAACACATTTATAAAAATTGTACAGAAGAAATTAAATGTGTGATGGAAATTCTGATGGTGGAGCACGTTGAATTTTCTGAGACATAGTGTTATTTTCCTGGAATCCCTTATGCCTTCTTTGTATTCCAACCAATAAAAGAAAACCTTGTCATTGAAAGTGGTAGGCTGATAGGACATTATGATTATACAGTATTACTTTTCCTGTCTTACTCTCTGACCCCTTCTCCGTCACTGTAAATTTTTATTTTCTATTTCCTATTGCTAATTAAACATGTATATAATGTAGAGGCCGTTGTATAAAACTGAATGAATTGGGTTGCCATGCTTGAATGGGTAGCTACATGGAAATATTTGATGGATAAGAGTAAATTTACTTGGGAAAGGGAAGGCCATAGCAGACGGTTCCTGCACCCCTAGGGGGTCAGTGGGAGAATCAGCTGCAAACTCAGTATCAGACAAGAGGGGCTTTCCTTCCCTTCCCCCAAAACATGAGCACTAGATTTCAAAGTCTACTCAGGTGAAATCGCTTCACAGTGAAATTTAACCACATTGAAATTTTCACTGTTAAATACTATATTTGTGATATTTTTAAATACAAACTTTTACACTGCGGTCAGCAGCCTAACCATTGAAATTTAGCCAAGATATTTTAAAATATAATAGTCCTCCATGTATAATTGTTTTTAAACAATTGGGAGGATTTTTTTGTTGTTGTTGATTTTTTTTTTATTGTCATTGTAAACAAACAAAAACAAAACCATCTTGCTTGACCCCACATTATACCATGAGTGAATCACTGAGCCATTTGAATACAGTGGTAGCTTGTTTCATGCCTGGTCATGAGACATGAACTGACATTATGAGGTTTAATGAGTTCATAGCTTTTGGTACTGTCGTCATGGAGTTCACCTCGCCTCTTGGAGTTTATAATACCATTTTATGTATTGTGATACTAAAGGAAGCTGTTTTACTTTATTTTAAATTGACTTATTAGATTAACTTATATTTGCAAATTCTGCATTTTAAATGTGGATACTTGGCTGTTTGAAAATAAAATACAGAATACAGTTTTATGAATAATTTTCTAGCTGAATTTTTCACAGTACTTTGAACCAAATGACTGATGGTAAATATGCAAAAAAAAAAAAATGTGGTACACAGTTATTGAGAGGAAAGGGTGTCCATGTGGAATTACTGGTTCCATGGGTTAAGTAACAATATCAGGGCCTTTACTGTGGCTTGCTATAGAATATCACTAGTTCCAAGATCAAGTTAACTGTTAACTGTCATCAACTCCTTCAGATTGAACCATGTTGAACATAGAGCTAAGATGTATGACTTTTCCTTTAAAGATAAGACTCCATTAACCTTTTATCAGTAGTACACATGGGATTTCTGTTTTCCTCCAGTAGTATAGATAGATTAGTTTTCATTCACCAACCACCTTGCCAGGACCTTGTCTCCCGACCATGAGGTGTGTTGTGAGAAAGCAGTCTGCAGTTAACAGTGCTGCTTAGGTCCCTGGGACAAACTTCAGTCATTGGCCCTTGCCGAAGTCAGTGCTCAGACCCTGGCTTATTAGCATGGTGCTGTAACCAACTACGTAATGGTACCACTGATGGTCTACTATTGCATTTCCTAGATCCCAGTTCTTGAGTGATTTGGCTTGGTGGGGAGAGGGGTGGGGAGGGAGATAACTCTACCTGACACTTCTCCCACCTTCTGAAGATTATACAAAAAAATAAATAAAATAAAATTGAAGTCACTTGAATTAATGTGTTGTCACTGAGTCTTACTTGATTATTCTGATTAATGTCTGGATAGAATCTACACTTCCCAGCTGTTTAGTTCCCTGCTTTGCTGAACCTCATGGCTATTAAGACCTCACATCCACTCCTGGGTCAAGAGTCAGCAGAGGTGAGAGCCTTAAGTGAAGTAAAAAAAAGAGGGTCTCGGTAGCTTTCCCTCTCCACCTGCCCCACCCCGTCATTTTAAGATACAATGGGTAATTAGGACAAGACCTTTTATCCATAGACTTAGGCAGATAGATGCATGCCTTTGTGTAAGGACTGGAATGGGGGGAAAATGTGACTGTAAACAACATTTTCAGATGCCTGGGAAAATGCAAGTTTTTTAAAAATGGTCTTGACTTGTAAAATGGAGAACATTTGAACCTTTGCCTGTTTACTCACTGACACAGATGAGCTTTTAAAGTTGTAATCTTAATGTTCCTAACTTCTCTGTTCTTAATGTGAAGCCAGTGTCCTTGCGGTGTACGGAAGGGAGCCAAAGGGGAAGCCGAGATAGGGCTTGTGATTCCTGTTGACTGGGATCTTCATTGGCTGGGGCACAGAAGCTTCACGTACTTTGCAGACACTGTGCTAAGTGCAAATAATAGATGGCTGAGGCTACTAGTGCCTTTTTAAAGATTATCTATTTAATGTGTTTTGCCTTCATGCATGTCTCTATGCGCCATGTGAGTGCAGCGCTGGTGGAGTGCGGAAGAGGGCATCAGATCCTCTGTAGCTGGAGTGTTGGAGGCTGTGAGCTGCCATGTGGGTACCGGGAATCGAACCTGGAGCCTCCAGCCTGGCTCCTGGTATCTTAGGAAAACAATGATTGTGGTATCAACTACAGATTACATGTCACAGTGTTGGGCTTCATATGACTGAAGCAAACACCGAGTTTAAAGATGTGTCCATACTGTGCTGCGTTCTTTAAGTCACTGTCCTCAATAAATGGGTAAATGGGCAAGTGTGGTTATTCTTGGCTTTAACATGATTTTCTAAGGGAGGAAAATGGAATTTAACAAGTCAGCTGCAGAAGCTAAACTATGTGGAGACCATTATAGAGGAAACAACGTTGTCAAAATTTACCCTCAATGGAAACAACCAAATTTATGGGTAGTATTCAAGCCTGGAGTGTGCAGCTGGTGTAATAGTCTGAAGGAACTGGCCTGTTATGGGTCTGGGTAGTCAATGCTCTACGGATTTCCAAATGAGGGGAAGCTATCCAGAGGATCACCTTTTATGCTAGGATGCTGGAAGCCAGTGCTGGGGGTGCAGCTAACAGCCAAGGCTGGTAGGCACGGCCCCCGTGGAAAGGCTCTACTGTGTTGATTGCTCTGTGCTTAAACACTGCTGCAGGTTCTTTCAGACTACAGTTGAGTTTACAGCACTCTCCCGTTTCCTTCAAGGTCTTCGAGCAACTGTAAACTCAAACTTCCTTTATGCTGGTGTCTCTTTGTGTGTGGCAGCTGCAGTACCATAACTTCT